ACGCAGTACACACGAGACACACGGTACATATAGTACACATGATACACACAGTACACAGGGTATACACAGTACACGGGGTACACACAGTACACGCAGTACACACGAGACACACGGTACATATAGTACACACAATACACGCAGTACACACGATACACACACGATACACGCAGTACACACGAGACACACGGTACATATAGTACACATGATACACATAGTACACACGGTACACACACGGTATACACAGTGCACGAGAGTATGTGGGAGTCTTAAATGTGAGACCATCTCTGTTTAAAGATGCTTTCTCTCATTTTACATTTTCTGTTCCCCCCCCCCAACCAAACACACACACACATGCACACACACACATGCACACACGCACGTCCAGTGAAGGTTTCCTGAATGTTTCATTAAAATTTGTGCAATAGTTCCAAGAGATATTTTGCTAACAGACAGACATTTAAACATAATAATTATTAAATATTGGTAATATGATGGAAGAACTGATTGTTGCAGTGACTCAAACATAATTTTCTGTTTTAAATAACAAATAAAAACAAGTTAAATGTAAATAAAGCAGCTTAAAGAGCTTTAATGTTCGGCTCCTGGAGGCGAGAAAATCAGGATTAAAAAGTTTAAAGTATCCAGAGTTATTATTTTAAGGACAGGAATGGTTAATTTTTAATTGTAGTTTTTATATAATTTCACCTTTAAAGTAAATAAATGTTCTTGGGACCAGTTTTGTTGTTCAGAAACTTTTTTATTTTTAACTTTATTAAAAGACGCGTCTTGTTCCTGTTGAGATAATTTTTGGTCTTGGGTTTGAGTCCACACACAAACTGAACTGCTCAACGGTTCTTTAGGGAACAAACGGCCGAGCGTCTTCCTGCTCGTTTCATGTTCTCGTCTCGTCCGCTTTTATTCAGAACATTTAAGACGAGAACGAGTTCATTAAAGTTCATTTTGTTGGAGAACTAGTTTTCTGGGTGAAAGCTCAGGTTTGTTGAAACGTTTAAAAAATGTTTTGTCACGTGTGAAAACGAATCGTTTTGTTTTTATGATGAAAATAAAAATGGAAGCGGATCAACCGAAACTCGTGACGCAGCTGAACCTAAAAGCTCTCCAGAGCCAGGCCCGGTTTGTTTGGGTCCTGAAGGTTCTGGTTCTGGTTATTGTGGTAAAAACCTGAATCCGCTGGCGACCCAGCGGATTTGTAGTTCTGTGAGCACGAGACGAACTGAAAGTAAAAATGTGTTTGTTCAACCCGTGATAAACCGTTTGAGGAATGCAGCTCGGTGTCGCCGGATCTGTGAGAACACGTCCAGAACCAGAACCTCCGAAGACCCACGGGCCGGATTTATTGTTGTCTAGTTTCAAAACTGTCAGTTCAGCAGCTCCGGACGTGAGTTATCTTTGTGACGGTTTCAGGTCTGAGTTTCTTGTTCGCTCCGTCAAAACTAATCAATTGTACAATAATTAATTAATTTTATATATATTTTACATATATATATATATATATATGTATATATATATATATCAGTACAAAGTCTTTAAAGAGGAAGAAGAAACAAATAATCCAAAACCTGAATGTTTTCCTCACATTCTTTTAATTTTTATTTTTATTGGGGAGTAGTGGGGCAGTGGTTAGAGAAGGTGGGCCTGTGATCAGAAGGTTGCCGGATCAACTCCCGGGACCGATAACATTAAAAGTAGGTGGGAAAGGTGAAGCACCCACACCTGCCTCCACCCTCATTTGCCCCACTCTGAGCCCTTGAGCAAGGCCCTTCCCCCCACCATCTGCCCCCCGGGTGCCCTGGTGGCAGCTCTGTGCTCTGCTCAGAGGCTGAGGCAGCTCGGTGTCAGGACGAACATCTGGAGTAAAAACAATCACCAAGTCTTGGTGTGAGTTAGAAGAAGGAGCAGCCGAAAGAAGAAGAGCCAGAAGCCTTTTTAAATGTTTTTGTAAACAGAATGTTTAAGCTGATGTCGACTTCTTTGTGTGCTTTACCTACAAAAACAGCCGAAGTGACTGAAAACAGCTTAAACAATCCGGATCTTTGTTTACGTCCGGTGCAGACCTGCGTTCCTGAGGATTTCTGGAAAACTTTGATTTTTGTTCAGGAGAACTCGTTTTCTGTTTCAGGTCGGCGAGGAGCTTCAAATGAGGCGACACTGCTGGTCTTAAAAAAACAAAAACAATTGGTATTGTAGTGGTTCCCAACTGTGGTCCCTGAGGAACGCCATCCTGCATGTTTTAGTTGTTTCTCTTCCCGACACACCTGATTCAGTGATTTGATGACTTCAGGTTCTGCAGAAGTCTTTTAGTCACCTGTTCTTCAAATCAGAGAAGCAACTAAAGCGTGCAGGACGGTGTTCCTCAGGGACCAGGGTTGGGAACCACTGGTTTAATGAACTGATGATTAATTGGTGTGAGCTGGTTATAATGAAGATTTTCAGAGTTTTAACTGTTTAGATCTTTTTTTTTAATCCAGGTGCGTTTTATTTAATCTGACAAGCAGGTTTAAAATATCTGGATTATGTTTTAAAAAGTTTATTTTAAGGTTTTTGTTCTCCAGAGAAGCAAAACAAGAGTTTCACGTGAGTTTTGACATTTCTGGTGGACAGAAGAATTTCCTCCTTCAGTTTAATTTAACGTTCTTTGGAAACGTGATCCTGGGTTTGACTCCGTTTGTCAAGAGAACTTTGTAAAGTTTATAATAATCTGACGTGAAGTTAAAGACGTGGAGCGTCCTGAGATCTTCTCCTGGTTCCTGCTCTGAAGCTCCTGCGTTTCTTTCTTTCAGTTTGTTGAAGGAGACTTTGAGGAGTACCTGCTGAAGCTCCAGGACCCGCAGGTGAACTTCGGCTCATCCTTCTTATTTTAGTCAAATCATCGTCAAAGAAAACTCAACTTTGTTTTTTTTTACCAGCAATGGGTCGGAGAGGTGGAGATCAGCGCGCTGGCCGTCATCTACCAGTGAGACAATATTTTACTGATTTTAAACGCTGACGTGTTTTTATCATTAATGGAACTCTGGCAACGTGACTTTCACAGGATACAGTAACTTATTAATGCTCTTTGAAATGCTCCGCGTGAACGTTTCATAATGAAGTCAAAGATTATATGAAGGGATTTCCTCGGCGCAGCCGACAGAGAAAAATGATCAGTTTCAAAAACGGCTGGAGAAAAGTCACTTCCTGTGAAAATGCAGCTTCTCGCTAAATGTTTTTTTACTGAAACCATCTGAAAAGGTTTTGTTGCTAAACTGTTCATGTGAGCTGAATTTAAACAGCTGACGAGCCGAAAGCAGGAAAATATGAGCCGAAAGCGGGAAAACACGAGCCGAAAGCGGGAAAACATGAGCCGAAAACGGGAAAATACGAAGCAGGAAAATACGAGCCGAAAGCAGGAAAACACAAGCCGAAAGAGGGAAAACACGAGCCGAAAACTGGAAAATACGAAGCAGGAAAATACGAGCCGAAAGCAGGAAAACACGAGCCGAAAGAGGGAAAACACGAGCCGAAAACGGGAAA